TCCCATAGGTACCTCATTTAAACCATCAGCCATAACCTGCTTCTCATTTTCAATACCACTTGGTATTAGAGCTGCAGTGAACTGCTGGTGAGAGATTCTAATTCCTGCAAACAAGCCCCTGTAGGCTTGCAAGGAAAACAGAGAGTTCCCCTCTCGGTTGCCTGCTAGGTTCCCATCTGGCTGTTTTAACTTTGCTATTGCTTTTAAATGTGCCTGTTTCTGCACACAAAGCTTTCAGCTCTACCTCAAGAGACTCCTGGGTTCTCTTAGCATCAGAGTCTGACCAAAGTGTAGAGACACAGACTGGGTCTTCTTAGAAAAAAGGAAGATCATATTTCACGTTACAGTATCTAAAAGATTAATTCCACTAACATGATCATTTCCTTGTGAAACACACTTCTTTCCATCTGGAATTTTCTATCAGGAGGACAAAGAGCTATAGTGTCACACACTACCTGAGAGAAAAGAGCAAGGAGTGTAAAAGATGAGTGCAGAGATGCTTGCTGAGAGAAAAGAGAAGAAAAAACAGAGTAGTCAGCATTTGCAAATGCATCAAGAGGCTGTTTTTAAATTTTTTTCCCTTCCACATGAATTATATTCTGACCCCATGCTTTGGAATTTTGAACCATTTAGTTTGTCAGGTTTTTGATACAGGGAATTTAGGATATTTGGCTGCAGGAGCTTTCTGTATCGTATTATTGTTAGGTAGTGTTTGTGCTATTGTAGTACCCACAGGCTCTGCTGTGCTTGAGGCTCTCAATAATCTCATGTAAGAACTTGTTACTGAAAGACACCTGTCCCCATCTGGGCTATCAGCATAACCACAGGCAGAGCTGTGCCAGCCAGGAAGGTGCTAGCAAAAGGGAAGGAGGAAAGATGATTTGGGTCCAACTAATGTCCTGTCAGACTCCTCTTGGGACTCCAGATGTTCATTTAATCTCTCTACAACTCAGTTCCATCTGAGGAGACAAGGGAACAACCATGGCAAAATGGCAGGAGGCCCTGTCACAGAAGTGAAAATTTGGGTTAGGCAAATAGGTGGCTATTCAGTCTGTGTTCATTGTTAGTAAAATAAAACACATTTTTCTCCACCAGGAGCAAGCCATTTCATCTTGTATTAATGTTTTAAAATATTTTATGCAATGCAGGAGAATAAATTGCAAAACAAAGTAACTGAATAGAAAAATGGAAATGGTAAATTTTTTTGAACTAACAAAATTATCTATTTCATATCTACAGTATTGGAGTGTTTGTGTTTTTACCCCCAAAACTTTGCTGAGTTTTTTCCCACTAGATTATGCAAATGCAATACAAATCTATTAAATGCTTTAGCCAATTCAAGTCACTGGGGGGTTTGTATGGGTTTTTCCTTTTCTTTTTTTTTCTTTTTTTTTTGGGGGGAGGGGGGCTTGCCAGAGATGTTTGATAGAAAGTGACAATCATTTAGACCATAGAGAAAAGAAGAAAAAAAAAATAAACCAAACCAACAAACCAAAAAACTTTGCAGACTGTAGTATTCAAGCATCTGGACAATACTGGGGAGATACAAAGCTCCACTAGGTTGTTGTAGACAAGGTTCATGACTGAGTCCCTCATGCAAACAGCACGGATGACCCACAGCCTTTCCTGGGTGCTCCCTGCAGCCAGGCAGTGTCACCCACGGCCATCTCCAGCCTGGACCTCCAGGGCAACTCCTGGACCACTGGGGAAACCCAGGCTCCACAGGCCAGACAGGGATCCAAGCTGGCCCTGGCCATTTGGGCTGTACCCCAGTGCTCCAGCTGGGTGGGAAATGATGCAAAATGACAAGACCGTTTTAAAGCTTGTGTGCTACCTTGTGTTTTGTGGATTGCCATTAAAATCTCTGTCTAGCCTCAAAAGTCTCCCACAGGTTGAATTTTTTTGGTTTCCATTGTTTTGTTTTTAAGTGGAAAAAATAGGAAAGAAAGATGGAATTATAAGAGAGAGGAAAAAGGAAAGGAAAGGAAAGGAAAGGAAAGGAAAGGAAAGGAAAGGAAAGGAAAGGAAAGGAAAGGAAAGGAAAGGAAAGGAAAGGAAAGGAAAGGAAAGGAAAGGAAAGGAAAGGAAAGGAGCTAATGATATGGCTACAATTTAAAAGCAAAGTAATCCTATCCAACTTGCATGGTTTAGATCTCTGCAGAAAATGTTAGTGACCTTGTAAGACAAAAATTTTTCCCTCGGGTACAGGGATTCCTGCCCTCCTGCTGTCACTGACTGTTTCCAACTAGAGCAGCTTCTGGGAGCCACCCAGAGGGAGGGAGAAGCTTAGAGAAATGTAATCAGTGGCAGCACTTTTGCTACCTCTGCAGTATCTTAAAGTAGAAGGTGGGGGGAAACCTTCACCAAAGTCCCTGGCCTTCAATTAAAAATTCATATTGCTTTCCTCATTAGTCCAATCATCTGCTATAGCTATTTCCAGGCTTACCCTGAAGGCCCTGCAGAGCAATCCAATTTCAAGGCAGTGCAGCACAGCTGGGAGCTGTGTTCTTGGGAGGAGCTGTGCTTGTGTTGACACAAGGAGCTCACTTGTCTGACATTAGGCATGTGAATAAAACAATGTTGGCACACCTTTTGGAAAGAGGGTTGCTCTATGAAAGGGAGCTTTGTTGCAAAGTATTTCCCTGGCTGCAAAGGCCAGAGTCACATGTGAAGTGTCACTGGCACCAAAATGACTCAATTTTGGGAGAACCTCCTCAAAGTCAGGTCTTGAACAAGTGGCCACACAATCTAATTCTCTGCTTATCATCTCTGAGAGGCTACAATGGAAGTTTAAAGCAGCAGGGTCTAGGAGAAGTGAACGTTTGGTATCCATCTGCTCCACAACTTCTGCCCTTAAGCATTTGAAGCAACTCAGAGTCAGCTACACTCCTTGAAAATGAGGCTGTGGTCTTATGAATCTCCTGATGTAGAAGCTGTATTATCTTATTCTTGATTTTCTTTAACTGCCTCAGCTTAACGTTCTGTGTCAGTGAAGTACAAACAGGTCACCATAAAGATGCTGGCAGTAGCTCTTGAGCACAGTGCATGACTTTCACAAGGCAGTAAAACTTGTAGGGCAATGCACACTATCTGTTTCTGTGCTATTCTTCATGCTAATCTGGGCTAGGATTGCACAACATACTCCTTTAACAAAGCTCTTGATCTTATATTATCTGTCCTGAAAAATTCGTAGCTTTTATCTCTATATTTCTCTCTACTTCCCTGCAGTTCTTTTCCTCCATCATTAAAAGTAAAACCAGTCTTCTTTTTTCTATGTCTCCCATCATTTTTATTGTGCTTTTCATACCTTGCTTATTAAGTAGTTACCCTAGGGAGACCTCTTTCTTATTGGAACATACAAAAAGCTATAACTGCACTTAACATTTGTGGGGAGGAGGAGGGAGGAAGGGGCAAAGGAAGCAAATTTAGACTGAGGACTCAGAAATATATGTGTATGTTCAGTAATATGCCTCACATCAACTCCACTTCTTTTTCTGTAAGCAAAAATATATTCTCCCTTGTTTTCTGCTTATTCCTCAAATCAGCTTATACTGTTAAAAATAACATACATGGACAAAATTGTTGTTTTAGGAGCAACATCCATATGGCTCCTGCTGCTGTGGGGCAGGGGACAGACCAGATGACTTCTGAAGGCCCCACCTGCGCTTGTTTTCTAAAATTGCTGAGAAAATAAACCCAAACTTTAGATTTAGGCATTCAGGCATTAGAGTGAAAGCTGATGGCATATCAGAATAAATACCATTTACCCTACTTTGGGAAGAGTTCTAGTGTGCCTTCCACATTGATTATGACTCTATTAAGAACAAGCAACCCAATAAAGCCCATGAATAGTTTCAGGGGGCAAGAACAGCAATTCAGGATAATGAGATCCAAGCAGGAGAAATGTTCCTAAAGTCTCAGAGAAGGGACTGCTTGGATATCTTGCTCTTGACTGAGCTTTGCTTCCAGCTGAACCATCTGACCTGGGCTTGCTGGGTCTAAACCAGCAAACAGCATTACAAAAGGGTTGCCCATATTCCACAGCATGATTTGTGAGGGTTCACAGGTCTGTGACCTTAGAGACTTGTGAGGGAGCCCTAGATGGGATTCTCAACAGGACAACAATGCCAGAACTTTTAGCTCTATAATTTCAAAAATACTCTTTTTTTCTCACATCCTGGGTAAGTACTCTGCCCCTCAGACAAGAGAAATGGCCCCTCTCTGGAGGGAAGTAGCTATCACATTATTTATACAAAGTGGAACAGCTCCCAGAGGAGAGATTGAGACAGATAGGCACAAGAATACCAGTATAGCTAAGTGTCCAGGGATATTCAATTGAGAGAGAAAAAATTAGTTCAAATCCTCTCAATTTCTCTTTCTGTACATACAGACATAAACAATATATATATGTTTATAGATGCATGTGAAAATCCTTTCCTATGTATACATGTACGTATGTGTGTAGGTGTGTTTAAATGCATCACTATAAATTAAATAAAATTGTATGTACACACTGTTTATATGTGTGTACACACACACCATACAAATGGTGCTCACCTACACATCCTAAGATTTTCACCTTGGCCCTAGAAACTTTGTAAGTCAATTAATTGATGCATTCACAAACTTCCAGTTTTGACTAATCAGAATCAAGTGTACACAAATACTCTGGTAGCACTTCAACAAAAAGAGAAATATTACCTGTGTCTACAAGGTTCATCCAGTCTGCATTCAGGTGGTGCAGATGTTCTTTACCAATAGTGTTACTTGACAAGAAATTAAATCACATTATCTTATGCTGCTTTCTCAAGGGAGAAATTACCTGTCTGTAGAGTCCTACCCCTGAGCCAGTCCTGCTCTCTGGATGCTTTTAGCAACACCTGCAGGCCCTGCTGCACACACTAGTTCTAATAATGTAATCCTATTTGGAGGGTAATGAACAGGTCTACTTTCTAGGGAATAGTATTTCTGTATGAAAATTTCCTTTCAATTAATTTCAGAAAAGCTGTCTCTGATCCACCCTGAGTGCATGCAAAGGAGCAGCAAGATGCTTCACACCAGAGACCCTTCATCCCTGAGTAGCAACACGTCCTACGAAACACCGGCACTATCAGATCTGCAGCAGCTCCTGTGGCTCAGAGGAGGCTCCGATAATCACGTGGACCAAGTCTGGCCAAATATCTACCTGGGAGATGCGTAAGAACATATGGTCCTATTGTTAAGCTGTTATCAGTCCCTGGGAGGAGGAGGAGGAAAGGGTGTGGTACTACTGGGGAGCAGCTTTTGGGTCTTCAGGTATGTTTTTGTGATACAGGCTTCCAAAACTGATGATGTAAAGAGCTAAAGAGCTTGGATGTCAAGAAACACATGACATACAAAATGGTGCCTTACTCATAGCATGTCTGACTTGGTTTTTTATATTCTTTGAGCCACCATAGATTTAGCAGGGTTTAGCAGGTATTTTAGATTTAAGTCCTCAAATAATCTACTGATGAGCCAAATTTATGTCAATTCTGAGATGCATTATGTGGCCTGGAAACTCTGCTCTAAGACAGCAGACAAGAGGCCAATAGCCCTAACACTTAAATAGGGGTAGCAAGACTAAACCCAGAAGGAGGAAGACCCAAATGAATTGTACAATAGTGATCTTGACATTCCAAATCCAAGCTTTCTTTCAAAGATGATAAAGCTGAAAATATCAAACACGAATTTTCATGTAAATACCTTATTCTTGTGACCCATAATATTTGTTGCTATTTCCTTCCAATTGGATTATTGCAGATTATCTAGATGATTAGCTCATTTTTCCCAGCTCCTCCTCCTCATGAATATATCAGTTAACGTTTGGAATTTTGTAGAATGCCTATAGTCCTAGTTTATGTTGGGAAGTGGGTTTCACCTAGCTGGTGAACATAATGCATCCACTTCACGTCCAAACCAGGAGCAAGGTGTTGCTGCATCTGTGCGAACTCTCACTCTTGAGACGAGGCACCCTATCAATGACAGATTAGCTCTAGTATTTCCTAAACAAATATTTAAGGAAAATCTTGACCACTTCATACAGTAAACTGTGTTCCCAGGGATTATCTGCTGGGAGGCATTTGCTTAACTGACAGTATCCCACTGGCAAGTCTGTGCTCCTGCTGTTCTCCACACCTCCATATCATATTTCTCATGTGCAAAGCACTGTGTACTTGAAATTTGCTCCTCTGTAAGCAGGATGCAGTTCCTGCATCCTTCCGTAGTGGGAGCAGGCACTAACTTTAAACCATGCTATTTTTGCAGAATGTTAGGAGCGTTGCCAATGTGCCCTTCATGTCTTTCAACAGGTGGGCTGCTAGGAGCAAAGCTACACTTCAAAGCCTCAACATTACTCATATCCTTAATGCAGCAGATGGACCATATAGCATCAACACGGGAGCCAACTATTATGCAGATCTGAAAATAGAGTACTATGGAATAGAAGCATTTGACGATCCCTCCTTCGATTTAAGTGTCTTCTTCTATGATGCTGCCAATTTCATAGGGAAGGCCTTAAACTCTTCAGGAGGTAAGAGAGAAGCAAAGGGGAAGAAGCTTTCAGGGGAAATTTCAATGCAAGCCAAATGACTTTTCATTTCAGTAACAGGCACCAACAGAGCTCAGAATCAGCATATGGTTCAAGGGAGCACATACAGAACCACTGAGCAGAGGATGGAGAAGGGTGCCTGTGCCATGTGCTGCAGGGAAGGTGGCTGTGCCAGGTCCCCAGCAGTTGCAGAAGACTGCCTGCCCCCAGCCCAGCATGGTGGAAAGAAGGGCAAGCTCTGGGACTGGAGTGTAGAGGGAAGGACAAAGTTTATGGCACTGCAGATGCTGCCCCATGAGCCCATCCTGTAGGAATCAGTGGGATCTGTGTGCTCCCACACATCCCTCCCACCCATCACACACTGGCAGGGGCTCCAGCTGGGGATCCTGCCCTGCATGCTGCTCCTGCTCCCTGTGGGAGCAGAGGCACTTTGGAGCTGGCTCGAATGCTTCACACGCTCAAGTACTTCACAGAATTGCAGCTTTATTCTGCCTGTCTATTAAGCTAGAGAAGCAGCAGAAGTTAATGAACTAAGTCAAAAACTATGAGCCTGACCTGCAGCCTGCTGAATTTTTGTCAGCAGAGTTTGGATTAGGGCCTAGTTATCATAATTTCCATTTGTTCCAGAGTTTGCTCTGACTCTGACTGGCTGCAGGATCTGCTGCTTTCACTGGAGTGCTTTATTAAATCCTCAGTTATAGCTCACACTGGGCTGCTGAGATACAGTAAATTACAACTCCATTTTTACAGGCAGACTATCCCACAGAGTTTGTGGGACTTGCCAGTGATCACAGTCAGGGCTGGGCCAAATTTTTCTGCCAAATTTTTTTTCCCCCCATAGAAAACTATACTAACAAGTTTAGTCCCAGAAAGCTTCTCCTTCCACAGAAAATTTCAACTATTTCAATCTAGGTCTAAATTAGATGCAGGAGATTACCTGAGAGGTAAATTTCCTGAAAGCATGAAGATCCACTGATTGTCACCAGTGCTTTCTTAACTTGTCTCTACTAATTTTTTTTCTCCTCCCTTTGTCTTTTTCACTTTAGAAATGGTAAAGCACACTCACCTTGCTGTGCCTTTTGTTTGTGCAGGTAAGGTATTTGTTCACTGTGCCATGGGAGTGAGCCGCTCAGCAACTTTAGTGCTTGCCTTTTTAATGATCCATGAAAACATGACACTTGTGGATGCTCTGAAGACAGTGAGTGCTCACAGAAACATCTGCCCAAATTCGGGGTTCCTCAGCCAGCTCCGGGACTTGGACATTAAACTGAACGAAGAGAGGAAAAGAAGTGGAGCATCTGCTATCAGAGGCCTGTAAGAGAGTATTGCTGAAAGAAAGAGGGCAAAATCTTGTTTGATTTGCCTGTATCTCTTATAGATGAACTGCATTTATAAATTCAGGACACAAGTTTATGGGACACCAGGACGCATGTTATTAATAAAAGTAGATTTTGCTTGATCTTTCCATTTTGCAAAGCCTTCCTAGATTTATATTTACGATTGGTTGTATACTCTATCCTCCACTCTCCACCTTAAAACATTGCTGTCTGCTAGTTTAAAAGAAAAAAAAAAGAAAAAGAAAAAAAGTGAAAGAGATCAGGTTCCACTTCAGAAATAGCTGTGTTTCAGCAACTAGTGGAGCTCATATCAGTTTATGAAGTGTTAGGCTATTTGAGGTGAAAGATGCCATATTATTTATGCTACAGTAATGCTTAGAAGTTTTCTTATGAACCTTCCCCCCACCCCTTCACTCCCTGTATCTCAGAGGCTTTGTATTTTGAGACTTGAATCTGGCACTGGTTAGTTCTTGCTTTTACAATTGGTGGAGCTCCTGAGTTGGGGTAAGAGGCTCTTTAAAGGCAGAGCAGCTGGGAAACAACATAAGCCATTCTAAGAAATTATTCCAGGTATCTTTACAGGCTTTTCCTTTTGGCTGTTCATGAGAGCTTTTTTTCCACCACGTAAGTACCTTTCCTTGAGAGGGCATTCAAATATTGTTCATCTTCCATACTAAAAATCATCCAGGAAATGCTGCAGAAAATGCTTCTAAAGAAGAAGGTGGGTTCCCAGCTAAGGTTGGTGCAGGAAAATATTTGACAAAGTTCAAATTTGTCTGGCACTTCAAAATTAAAAACTTGGGATTTTCTTTCTCAAAAATAAAAGGTTATTAACATTGCAACATCATATTCTGTGGCATTTGCTTTTGCGAGGTGGACTGAAGTGAAAACTGAAGACACACAGGAATGGCAAGGGAGGTGTTGACAGGCATCAGGCTTTCATCTTTGTGTCTCTGGGCCACCATAAGAGCACTCAATAGCTACTGTCATCTGATGGATCAGTGCTGCCTGGAAACTATGTGAAGCACATCTGGCTTTTGGTTCCCAGCGGACAAGCATTTGCAGCACAAAGCCAGCTCCAAAGCCAGCTGGGGATGGCAGTCTGTATTCCTAGTACCAAACTCAGGAATGCAGAGGCATGAATACTCCCCACTATGTGAGCTGGCTACTCAAAAACAGCACAGCAGCAAGGGAAAACATTCTTGCCATTTCCAGTATTGTCTACAAGGTTAATTTCTGCCTTCAGGACAGACAACTCAGCACCTTTTATAATGCTCTTAGGTGACACCTACATCTGCTCTGTGGGCCAGACTGTAGGAGACAGAGCACAAAGCAGAGTATTTGGCACTGAGACTCTGACCATCATACCAAGGATGTCTCCGGGGATTTTACTTTGGACTAACCCTGTAGATTGAACATTACTGAGCAGCAGTAGAGCAGTACTGGAACACTTCTTTGCTTTAGTTCCCTGCATAAGTAAACTTCATGAGCTCTAGGGCTGCTGTGCAAAGGCAACAAAACCTCAGTAAGTAGGAATAGCCAATAAAAGTATGCTTCAGACCCAACCCAAAATTTAATGTGCATGTTTCCTTTACCAATTAAATCTAACAGAGTGATTCCAACTTACAGAATGAGTCAGGGAAACCCCCCAGTGGATCTGTCTGTAAAGATACCCCCAGTCTCAAGCAGAACCACATTTTCTTATCCTTCTCCCTCTCGGAAGCAGGAACCAACCAGCCATTTTTGGGCTGGAGCAAAGGGCAGAGCTGAGGAGCCAGTGGGGGTACTAGAAACATCTTTCACAGGATACAAACTTACCGCGCTTTTAAAACACTGATTGGTACGACTGGAAACCTGGAGCTTACTCTGATGGTAAAAATGCTGCAAACAGTATTTTATCAAGCAAAGTAACACAGAGAGTGCAACTTCTCAGGTTGCGATGTCTCGCACATGGTTTTCCTCCCAAAGGTGCGCTCCGCATCCCACATCTCCTCCCATTCCACCCCGCATCCCACCCGCGGCTCCGGCTGCCGCCGCCAGGTGGCGCGGTCGGTCCGGCGCGGGCGGCGCCCCGGGCCGCTCGGGAGGGTCCCGGGCGGGCCGCGCCGAGCGCCGGGCGCTGCCACCCAGCCCCGAGCCCCGGACCCGCCTTGGCCGCTCTGTTCCGAATTCGAGTCAAGCCCCGGGGCAGCCGGGGCAGACGATGCGGGGCCTGTGCTCGGGAAGGCGCTCGCCCTGTCTCGCCGCGCCGCCTGGCAGGCTGGGGCACAGCAGGGTCGGACCGGGTGCCCCCCACACGGGCTAAGGCCGGCCCTCCCCTCACGGCTGTCAGCTGGGCTGGGCAGCAGCTGCCCTGCAGGGAGCCGCCGTGGCACCCCCCGCTGGCGGGGCAGCCCTCAGGCCCCGTGTCCCGGCGCCGGCCGCGCCCCCGGCCGGTCAGAGCCGCTGGCACCGCCTGGGCCCGGCGTCCTCCACAGCTCTGCCCCAGCAGCTGCCTCAGCCCGCTGCTGCTGCGGGGCCAAACCGGGTAGAGGGATACGGGTTACAATTAACAGAATGAAAAATAGGCTTTGAATAAACTGAACACCCGGAGAAGGCTAGAAAGTTGTTGTGCAGGTGGCACGTTAGGAGGAAAGTGAGTGGTATTACTGAAACAAAGGTAATCCAAGACACCTCAGCGCGGGAGCTTCGACTACCAGGCAAGTACCTTTAAGCTTGTTTACAAAGCAACCCCAGTGCGGTCAGACCTGCACCGAGCAGTGTGAGCCCCCCAGAGCCAGCCCCCGGCAGGGCCAGCCCAGAGCAGCGGCTGTGCCCTTGTACTCAGGAACTCCGATATTTGTGAAATTCGAGTTTGCTTTCCAGCTGGACTTACAGGCTGAGGATCTCTCGCTGAAAAGGATGCTAAAAAACCAAGCCCATTTTATTTAAATACCAGTCTGGCTTGTATTTAAATTTCTTACGGATCTGTCTTTAAGATTATAGCCATGAAACACTGGATGTGGGTTTCCTTCCTCTCAGCTGATGTTCACAAGTCGATACTAGGAAAGGAGAGACTGTCCAGCCAGTTACACTGGAGAAAATGTGAAACAGACTATGAATAAAATGCTGTGCAGTTCAAAAACAAAACGTGGGAGAAACAAAATGAAAGAGCAAGGAGTTTGGGGGGGGAGGTGTATTTTTTTTTTTAATACTAACTCTTTATAGTTTGGGCTATTTATGGATTATTTATAACTAGGATCAAATTTTCAGACAGAAATGGGATTTTTAATGTCAGCAGTCTTCCTCAGAAAATTTTTATTGAGGAAATATGCTTGTATGGCTGTGGAAGCCATTGTGATGATTGGAGTAAAAGAGTACAGGAGAAGACTGGGTTAAATTAATTCCTGCTAAATACCTACCAGAAGACTTGCTGTCTGTATGGGGAGCTGGAGATAGAATTGTACCAGGGTAAAAAGGATAGTGTGGCTATTTATAGTGCTGCCTTCAACACCATAGGAATTCAAAGGAAAACTCCAACTCAGCACACAGTCCTCTCATCATCTTCTTCTGTCAAGATTAAATGGGGCCTGAGATAATTTCCCCTACAAATCCTTTCTAGGAAGGATCTGTTCCTTTGTGCAACAAGGAGCTACCATGGTACAAATCACTCCAGAGGCCAAGTCCTCCTCACCCAGCCAAATGCCACCACTTTCCTTTTGGTAGCCAGAGGAAGAGGAGAAAAAGACCTTTACAATCCTCAGCACTTAAGCAGGAAAGACCAAAATATTTTGCCTGCCATGTGTCCTTTCTCCCCGTACTGTCCCCTGCCCTTCTTACACTGGGTGCTCTGGGGGAATTGCAAACAAAAGGGCAAATGTAGCTCCAGCACAATCCCAGTGCCAGGCAGCAAAGAGAGAAACAGGAACACACTACTGGCACACTGTCATGGTCATTCATGGTGTCTCTTGAGATCTCAAGGCCCTTATCCTGTGTGCCCCTCTTGCCACTGCAGAACCATCCATCTCTGGGAAGCAGTGGGCTCCAGTAGGGGTGTGGGGCACCTATTTGTCAGTAGAAATTAGCTCTGATGTTGAGAGTACAAATGAAAGCAGCTTTGGAAAGGGTATTAGCAGAAACCTGCCTGTCATGCTAAAAAGAGGATACACTCCTGGAGTTCCTTAGCTCCACTCTTCTTTTAGCATCATGGTGCCTCAGATCTTTCCTTCTCATCTTCCACCTTCCAGTTTCTTTTTAATAAGAGCTGCTTTTTCATTCTTCACAAAGCACTACGTATTCTGTCTCAATGCTCCTCTTTTGTAATTCTGTTACCAAGCTGTCTGCTAGGTGGGGAGCAGAAGGTGCAGGACTTGGTGCTGCCTTTGAGGTACAGGTAATTATTATGTGCATCTGTTACTGTGGTTGCTGCCTCAACAGGTGGAAAACATGCTGTTCTCTGATAGATTTGCAGCACGCCGTGCTCCTGCCTTGTCTTTTCTCTAAAGCCAGTCGTGTGGTGTTTCTAAAATAATAAACACAGCCTCACTGCTGCCACAAAAACCCCTGGTAAATATATTTTTATGGGAATGAAGTATTAAAGGATTTGAACACTTACTCACTGAAAGCAAAATATGAGCAGTAAGGTTGGGTAAAGATTCAAAGGCTGGTTTGCTTCCTTTCCCTGGGGCACATCAAGGCTGTACTGTTTGCACTTCAGAGATGGATAGTGGGGAATTACTTAAACCAAAATGATGGAAACAATTCAGACTATAATAATATAGCATAAGAGTTTCTCATATTACATCTATTCCCCATACTGCTGGCTATACTCTGCCTTCAGATTCACGTGCACAACTCTCATTGGAATCTGGAGGAACTGTATTTGAAGCCAAAATGCATTTCATTGTCTTTCTGAAGTCTCTCTGCAGCTTAGTGGCTAAATTCTGAGCTCAAGAACTGGGAACAAAGCTTGTCTAAACATTTCCCAGTGTCTGTCTCTGTGAGATTCCCATCTGTTGTGTTTTATTTTGAATTTCATCTTCCTACTTTCCTAAAAACACAAAGCAGAAACACACATTTCCTCTGCCCTGGAGTGCAGGAGTCACCTAATTTCCCAGCAGGTTTTCTCAACAACATACAGTGGATCCAAGTTTGTCTAAAAATGCTACAAGCCCTTTGTGGAGAAGAAAGGGAGGAGACCAGAAATGTGGGCCAAGTTTCTGAGTGTTGTGAAAAGCCCCTGCCCCCCAAAGAGACTCCATTTCCTGTTTCCTCTCTCCCAGAAATGTCACCTGGGTTTGGGTTTCGTTAAGAGAAATATACATTGCTCAAGTCCTCTAAGGCTTTGGTTTGTGCTTCCTGCTGACACTGCAGAGACTACAAGAGCCATGAAAGCTGAGTCTGACTTTGGGGATTCACATTTGCAATAGCAGAACAAATTAAATGGAGAGCCTGTTAAGTGAGTTGGGAGATTGTTGTTGACCAACAAATCTTCATTAACTTCCCACACCAAGCTGTGCTGCACTTCTAATGAAACTGATCATTGTTTCTCCTTCTATGTTTCAACTATTTCGCCACCAGGTTTGAGGGACATTGAGACTTGCTTGAGGTTTAATTAGAAATAAAACACTATATTAATCCATCTTGCTCCACACATGCACCCAGTTTGAAGCTGTTGGTGCATCTTTCAAATAGGCCAAGTTTCACTCTGTTCCCCACCTGTTACTTACTGCCTTGGTTTTTGCTAGTTCTTTTATTTACAGCCAGTGACTCACAGAGACTTTGTTCACTGGTTTATGGGGACTTTCTGGATCACTGCTTTGCATCACCATTAGTGGTTTGCATCACCAGATGTTTTAACTCAGGAGT